AACTAGCGGGGTAGTGTAGACATACCCTGGGAGAGCCCAGCTCAGCAGGACGGACGTGCAGGGCCCGCCAGGCCAGCAGCTCCCTCCCTCCCCCAGCACCGCCTGCCCCCCTTCCCGCAGCACCACCCACTCGTAGGGTGGATAGTGGCCTTGCTTGGTGAGAGCCGACAGGTCCTCGCGGCTCTTCCGCAGCGTCTTCTTGGCCCCCCGCAGGCCCCGCAGCTTCCAGAACTCGGCCCGGGCCCCGGAGGAGCTGGCGACAGAGGTGGCCTTCAAGATCTGCTCAGCCCTGCACGGGAGGAGGCAGCATCAGCACAGAGAGCCTCAAGGCCTCTCCGGATGCCCCGGGACCTCCCACCTCCCTGGCCTGGCCAGCCCAGATCAGGGTCCGGTACTGACACGCGTTTCCAGCACCGGGCATCAAGGACGTGGGAGCCCTCCCAGGCCGACACCAACTCGCCTCCTCCCTCGGTGCCCCCTTTGCCAGCAGGAAGCGGCAGGACGTGGAGCGCCCCAGGAGCCGTGCAGTGAGAACTAGGGAGCAGTTCCTTGCAGGGCACATGGCCTGGGTCACTGGATTTCTGCTTCGACATGACCAGCTCCCACTTCCCTTCCTGAGCAGTGGCCCAGCCCTGTCTAGCCTGATAGGCGTGGCAGGAGGCTGCTGTGCCACAGCCCCTAGGGCTACAGGCTGCCTTGTAAACAGCCCCCACTGCCTCCCAGGACAAAACCATTGTCCCCATTTCACAGATGGTAAACTGAGGCAGAACCAGATCAAGACTTGGCCTCGGACACATGGCCACTCTGGCATTGCCCAGAGCTTCCGCTGGACCAGGCTTCCTCCGGCGAGGCCATCCAGGACGTTCCTCTCTCTGCCCCACAGAAGCCTGGGCCGCCCTCCATGGTCGGGTAGGAGGCTGGCATGGGCGTGGGATGCCAGCATATGCGGGGCTGGCAGGATCTCAGTCCCCTAGCAGCCACCCGCCCAGGCCCTGGCTGTCAACTGCCTGTCATAGGAGCATCACAGGCACCAAGTCAGGACCCCGAGGGCTTGCTCTGGGGCAGGTGTCTGGGGGTGGAGAGGTTATTGCAAGCAACGCTGGGGGACGTCCCCCCACAGCTCCACCCCCCTTCGCCAATGCCAAGGCCCTGTCCCCGCAGCCTGGTACCTGCTCTTGTTGGGGATGATTCCCTTGTCCAGTTCCTGCATGTCTCTGCCCACGCGCACAGCCAGCCAGCTGCCCAGCTTGCTGCGGTACATGGTGTCCAGCACGTGGAAGACCTCGCCCCGCGTGAAGCTCAGCCCAGAGGGAGCATCCTTCTCGAAGTCAAAGTGCGTGCGGATGTGGAACGAGTCCCCCACGTTGGACTTGAGCATCTTCCTGTAGACTGGGTGAGTCAAGGCAGGGCCCGTCAGGGCAAGGCAGCCCCGGCGAAGGGAGCTTTGGGGGCAGCACAGGGAAGAGTCGGCTCCGTGCGCAGCACCTGTCACTGCCCAGGGCTCAACCCCTGCCCGACACTCGCTGTGCGCAGGGCTCGTTTCACCCCGACCAGCAGCTCCCTCCAGGGCGGCGTGTGGCAGCGAATTTAACAGCATCCCCTGGGCTGGGGAGATTTCTCCAGGGCAGTGGCCAGGAAGGGCCCCAGCAGCACTGCAGGGGAAACGGGCTGGGGACAGAGACTGTGAGAGGCCCTTGCCCTGGCGCGCTCTGCAGGGCAGACAGTCCCCGAGAGACCCAGGGAGATGCCGCTTGTGTGGGTAGGTTTGGGGCCATCCCTGAGCAGCTTCCGAGAGGCAATAATCCTAGCGCCCACTCGCAAGCTGGAGAGACTGGACGGGCGGCACCAACGTCCCCCTAACATGGGGACAGCAAAGGACAGGGACCCTCCGATCGGAGTTCCTGCAGCGTGGCTCCCAAACAGGAGGATCCCGCGAGATGGGCAGAGCCAGGCCAGACACCCCACCCCTCCTCCCCAGCCAGGAATGAAGCCGGGGCAGGAGCGTGCAAGGCAGCAACCACAACACAGAAGACAAAAGCGAGCGGGCGGTCAAAGCAGAAGATGGCTCAGTTCCCAGTCAGCGCCGGGGGAACTCCGCCCCGAAAAGGTGCAGGACCCCTCGAGCAGGCCTGGTCCAAGCCAAGACAGCAGGCGGCTTTCCTTTGGGTCTCCCAGCCATGTACCTACACGAGCCTGCCTTCCCGCCCAGGGCTGTCCTGGTCTCATGCCGGTGCCAGCCCTGCAGGATCCTGGGGCCGCCAGGTACCCCGAGGGCGGCACAGATGTAGCCCCCAGCACGAAGGCATCGGAGGGTTTCTCTGGGGGTTAACTCTCCACACCCTGCGCTCAGGCCAACAGAGACGTGCCTGGGCCTGTCCAGCACAGCTGGCATCACAGGCTCTCGGTCCGGGAAGTCCCTGGCTGGTCTCGTCTCTTGCCCAGCCTCCCAGGGGAAAAGGAAACGCACGTGGGCCGAGCTGGCTCCCAAGGGAGGGGGAGTGCACCTCCGCCAGCGCCTGGAACAGGAGCTCAACGTGCAGCCCTAGTCGCAGGCTGGAGGCCAGCAGGCCACTTACTGTCCTGCTTGCTCTGGGTCAGCAGAACCACCTCGTCGCCCGGCGGCACGGACAGCAGGTACTGCGCGGCCTCCTCTCGGGTCAGGCTCTGGAAGCTGGTCTCGTTCACCTGCCAGAGAGGGAAGCGCCTTAGCGCCGGCGTCCCCATCGGCCCCGGGCGGGAGCAGCCCGGGCCAAGGGCAAGGCCCTGCACAGGGAGGGCAACGAGGCCATTGTGCAGTGCTCCAGGTAGGGCCGGGTGATGGGAGAGCCAGGGCCTGGAGCCTGGGGGCCAAGCCCAGACTGGCTCTGGAAGCTGGTCTCGTTCACCTGCCAGAGAGGGAAGCGCCTTAGCGCCGGCGTCCCCATCGGCCCCGGGCGGGAGCAGCCCGGGCCAAGGGCAAGGCCCTGCACAGGGAGGGCAACGAGGCCATTGTGCAGTGCTCCAGGTAGGGCCGGGTGATGGGAGAGCCAGGGCCTGGAGCCTGGGGGCCAAGCCCAGATCCTTGATCTACCCAGGCTCCCCATTGTACCCTGACTGCACGAGGGGCTCAGAGGCCTAAGGAGGGACGGGCCTGGAAGGGGCTAGAGGAGCCCGTGCAGCCCGGTGTTCCAGGTGCCCCTCGCTCTATGGCTCCAGCTGGAGCTGCTCGTGTTTGGAGCTCTGGGAGCTCCTGGTTCAAGCCACGGGCTGCCAGCCACGATGGCGGCTGCCACACAGGGATGCTTCACGGAGAGGGGGGAGGGACGCCGAAGGCCTCGGGGACAAGCCCAGACGCGGGCCAGGAATTCAAACATGCACAGTGGCAATGCAGAGGCAGACAGCTCCTGCCCAGCCTGGCCAGAGGAACGGGCTGGCGGCCCAGGCAGGCTGCAGGCTGGCCTAGGGGGTGTGAGGAGCCTGGCCAATGCTCTCCCGGGATTAGCTTCCCACAAGAGGGGCTGGCTGCAGGGTCGATCCTGACTCACCGTCTGTGGAGGCTCCACCTGGGACGGAGCCTCTTGGCGGAGGGGGCAAGTGCTCCGGAGTCCCAGCCCAGAAACAAACCGTGGGATTTGGGGCCCCCGGTACTTCCATGGAGGCAGGGGGTGAGGTCCCTGCCGCCCCCACTGGACAAGGACGCCCAGCCAGGGTCAGTGACGCAGCCACGCTCTCCCTCCCCTGCCCCTGTTTGCCATGGGTACCTGCAGAACCTGGTCCCCCTCTCTGATGCCCTGGCCGGCTGCGGGGCTCATTGCCGCCAGCCAGCCCCAGCCCCATGCTCTTGGCCTTCACAAAGCGCACAATCTTGGCGTCTGGGCTGTACCTGCGAGCGGGAAAGCTGAGTCAGCGCGGCCGGCACAGCAGACGGGTTCCAGCAGCTCCCCACGGCCAGCACTGGCG